CGCCGTCGATGCGGTTGTAATAGTCACGTCGAAAAAGATCGAGTTTCTCCAGAAGTACTTGGATGAGCATTTACTACAAATCCAGGAGTGGCTGAAGTAGTGACAGGTCAAAGTCAATGTGAGTAAGAGTACAGCTGTACTCTTCACACGGAGACAGATTCACGCAGCCGAAGCCGCTAGCGCCATGCGGAGAAGCGATTAATTGGCCAACACATGTGAAATATTTATTTGTTACTTTAGATTACCCACTTGCTTTTTATCTGCACATTGAAAACGTGCGGAAGAAAGCGCGGCAGACCAGAGGCAGATTTCACAAGCGGAGCAGACTGTAAACTGCAAACTGCCTCTCGCTTTATATGGATATTATTAGGCCGTAGATGGGCTACGAATCCCCCAGTTGCGTAATTGTAGCAAATACACATTTGAAAAAAGCGCAAGTAGTTCAAAATGGATGCCTCAAGGCCGACCTCTGTGCCTCTAAGTACATTCCTATTAAGGATTTAACGGTGATTTATCATATCGAAAATATTGCGTCTAAATTTTTTGAAGAAGCAGCTGACTCGGAAAACACTCTCATTTCCGAGGTCGTCCCATACCAATCCGATTAACGGGTGAAGTATAGGCGACCGAAGCACTTCCCGGAGTAAGAGTAATCTGAAACAGAGAAATGAGACTTGAAACATAAATTTAGTATTTCTGCACACGCAAAGCGCGCGCCAGTTGGCTAATGGCATTTTTGACCCTCTGTTTTTCTTTATGTTGCAGGAGTGGCCTTAGACGTCCGTAAGGGTAGGAATGGTCGCACCGCAGTGGCGTGAACGTGCATTGCAGTTTTCGCGCATTCACTAAACTGCACAAAGGGGGCTCAGTGCCAGGGGTTTCGGTCTTGAAAACCACGCACGTTGCGCAAAATTCACGCCCCGGCTGGACCGTATTCGCGCTTTGTGGGTGTGACGGAAGTCACATGACTGGTGCGGTAGAAGCGTGCACTCGAAGTGGGGCCTCGCTGCTAAAGGTGGTGCATCCACATGTCGAACGCGACTGGTTGACGGGAAATACCTGAAAGTGTATCCGTGGTGATTCAGTACATTATTTGAATATTTTGTAAATAAAACTTGTATATAATTTTCATGTCGTTTTGCTTACTTCCTCGACGCCACAAGGGTAACGAATGCAATTGAACAATCCTGCTTTTTTATCGTATCCGCATTAAAACAAAGGTCTTATTTTCCTGCATTACACTACCCATGATCATTTCTTGAAAAGAACAGAAAATAGAAGCGATCATATCGTGAGCAGCGTAAAATGAGGGGGACTACATTTCTGGGCTCCCTATCCAATTTTTTGTCAATTTCTGAAATGTTTTTGGGCGGTTGTAGGAGGGATTTGGCCGCATTTTCGGGATATTTTCGTACATTTTTCACATTTTTAACTGTTTTCGGCGGATTTTCTATTTTTGGCTTATTTTTAGGAGTTTCTATGGGAGATCGAATCTAACCGCCTTTCAAAGATAGACTACAAACTTCATTGATTTTTGCCCCAAGTTCCTTCGTTACACTGTAGGCACTTGCAGATCCATGCCCCTCCCCCAAAGGCCTAGAGTTTTCATTCACCTTCCTTTATTTAGCGAAATTGATTGAAATATTTATTTGTATTCAAATTATGTAATTATTTAAACAATACTAGTGTATAGTACAGTATCTGCCGCACATAAATAATATGCAGCAAAACAAATATTTTTATTATTTAACAAATATCTACCATGCCCTCCCCCTCAAATGATCAGCTGGATCTGTCCCTTACGTACACTTTGTACAATTTCTAAATTTTCATAGTTTTTGCAAAGTTTAAGATTTTTCACATATTTCAATCCACATTTATGTAATACATTTAATATGATTTTGTAAAGTATGTATAATGGCGTGTCAATGTGCACTCAATGTAACTCTTCACTCACGAGTTACAAATGTCCGGATACAATTACAAATGTCTAGCCATCGCCGGTAGACGAACTTCTTGATCACTTGACTGCTTAACCACTTGGATTTTATTTGTCACTTAGGCTTGTATATCGATTTTAAACGTTTAATTTCATCTGGTAAAATAATTTGCCTGTATTGTACGTCAAATTTGCCTTTTTTGTAGTGAACTGTTGTTACTGGCTCCTGATTAGTATGAGTTATAGTTACAGATACTAGCATTTGATGAAAATATGTTCCCATTCTTGAGTAAGTTGTTTTTACAAAAAGCAACAGTAACAAACCACTGCACTGATTTGTAAATGAAGGGGCAAGGGAATGGTAACATTTTTAGCTAAATAAAAAGAAGCTTACGAGAAACACGAGGGTGCGATTTTCTTATTATTCATACAAATATTTTCTGTAACTTAAAATTCTGTGAACAATGTTTAGGAAGTGTTTCCCCATAATATTACATCTATCTCAGGCGGGAATTAACATTCGGGCAATATACACAATGAATTGTATAAAGACTAACTGAAATTGAAATAATTTTGAATATTAAGCATATTGAACTTAATTTTGTGTTCAATTCATTTAAATGGTCGTTCCATTTGAGGTTCAACTAAATTGAGAGACTCAAAGCTTTGTTACCTTTAAGTCAGTAAGTTGATCGTCGTTCATTTTCAATAGTGTATACACTTGTTTATTTGAAACGAAAAACTACATTGAAACTCTTTTCCCTTCGTCATCTATTAATTTGTTATTACGGAACCAATATGAAACATCTGATATAGTGCTATTTACAGTTTCTTTATTGCAAACAAATATTCACATCGTCCTAAAAGAGAACTGTTGAATCGACGATGGAGAATCCATTACGTATAGTAGGAAGGGAATGGGGTCTAAAATCGAACCCTGTGTGATCCGATGTGCAATTGACAATGAATCGAAGAGGTGAGTAAATAAAGTTTCTTCATTCCTATACGTTACCTACTTCTACTCTCTGAGAGCGTTGTTTAGGGTACGAACATAACCAATCTAGAGCAATACCGTGATATCAAGGTAACTATGTAAGTAAAATGTTATGATCAATGCCGACAAAAGCTTTCAAAATTTAAAAACATATTTCAGTATGTGCATAAATTTGATACATTGATGAAGCGACAACTTCAAGAAAAGAAAATGTTTCGTTAGCTATTGATTCTCTAAACCTGTGTTGTGAATCTGGAAACGCTTCGTTTTTGCGGAGAAATGTTTCCATTCGTATTGAAAGGAGTCTCTCTAATATTTTGAAAAACTGACAAAATAGAAATTGGCCGAGAATTTTGAATACCATTTTCTTGCCTTTCTTGAAGAGCGGGCCAATCTTCGCGGCGTGAAACGAGGAAAGAGACCGATGAGGCTGCGTCCACACACTAGACGTATATAGGTTATTGGATGTCTTGAAATGCCTTCATGTGCCGTAAGCCAATAGTGGTGACATCAGTCACCACTAGAAGTGATTTGCATAGATAGCACCACTAGCAGTGATATGATAGCAGTGATATGAGATCAGATGCGAGTCTCGTTTCTTGTATTGCTTTTGTGTAATTTTAACCTGTGAAATCCTTGTTTTGTTACCATAATCGTAAACTATCCGTTTAACGAGTTCGAATTACCTTATAAGAAATACATTACCGCATTACATATAAACCATTATTTAATGTAAATCAGGAACTTTTGTGACGTACAGAGGAGAAGTATAATCTGTGGAAATTTTCTTGACCTCCGTAATCTCTACTCCTCTCTTTACTATATTTGTTGGTTGAATGGTGAGTAAATAGTAAATGATCAAATAATTCATAATAAAATTCACAATTAATTTTCCTCCATAAATAGTGAATATGAACTAAGAAAAATGAATTAATTAATTCTTTCAAAATACCCCTTCAAATTTCTAGCTTCAAATTTATTTTATATTGCTCATTATGAACGGTTTTCATACAGTAAGAATATCTGCAATACAGGTTTTTCTTGTTCATTTCCGTTTAAAAAGAAAATTCAAGTAAGAAATTAAAAAAGCTGGCTGTTTATCACATCTTTTGTTTTTAAATATTATAACGTCACTCAGTTCTACGCACTGTTTAGTATTTTCCTGCAGCAGCGAATGCCTAAAAGTTATATACAAAGTGGAGTAGAAATGTGTCTGAGAAAATTCCCTTGCTGACCGACGAAGAGGCGAACGAGAAAACTCAAGTGTGTGGGGGTCGTTAAGTGTCCTTTGTATGAATTTTCCACATTTCTCGCAACGCATTTCTCGGTGTAGTCATTTTCGTAGTCCTTTCTTTTTAATGCTTTAATATTGTTACATTGTAATACCGTGAAAAAACTTTCTTCCAAAAATGCCCGTGACTAAATCCTTTCTGAGAATCATTGTACTGGACTATTTTATTTTCATTTAATCATTTTTAAAAAAAATTATGTCGCATCAACTTCTAGGTCATTAGTGACCACTATTGTTTGTAACGGTATGGTAACTGAGGATGACACGATTTGATGATGATGATGATAAAGGGTGAAAGGACAAACGCAATACAAAGATGCTCGAGGCGGGACACGAACCCGCGATCCTTTTGTCCGAGATCACTACGGCACTACTGCCTTGGCGATCTCGGCCAGCGGATCGGCTTAAACGTTTTGTATTTCATTTGCCGATGGCTATTGATTTATTTTATCATTGTTTCAAGAAACTGATATTTGTTGGGCTTGTATCAATTTGGTTATCTACGAGAATGTTATTTTGAGATGAATTAGTTTCTTTATTTCTACGAATATCAGAAAGTTGGGCCCAATGAAAATAGTTGAACATTTGAAATAAAAATACTTGTTAATACTTGAGAATACTTGTTTTATCGTTGTAGAAGCGATTCTGGCGGAATTAGTATACATTACATGACCCCCCAAAGAAGTGTTTTGTTAATAGTTCCAAATACTTACACCTGCGGTGGACACTCATGTATAAAAGCTTTATACTCTTTGACTACGAGACCGAAAGCACCAAGAGTACAGTGAGACTGTAGACTGTGAGGGTGTTGTACTCTTTGGGTTGTAAAACGTTTGTTTCGCGTTTTGCATGTGACGCGCAGCGGAAGAAGACAGGTGACTGTTCGAGTTGTTACGGCGTTGACATGGCATGTATGGCGTTCGTTGATGCATTTTGGTAGGTATTATTTGGAGAACCTTCTAATGCTCTTTTGCACATTGTGTGAAGGATTATGGGCGAAATGGTGTACTAAGGTATTCTTTGTTAATTACCGGAATACTTTTGTTTGAGTAATTTCCCAATATGGCGTCAATTTTTCCATTTGTTTGGTAGTCTCATGTTTTGCTCTTCTAAATTCACTCTCTGGCAAATTAAATTTCTCTGGTTGGCTGCTGATGGGTCGTGCGAGAGGATTTGTTTGCTCACTTGCACAATTTTACGTTTATTCTGACATTCAATGATATAGGAAACCTATTTGCCCTGCAAGGAACTTCCACTGTATATTTTGTGTCCTTTATCCCCGTTGTAGCGAAAAAATAACAGGAATAGTGAGTTAGTGTTGAAGAAATATAGAAATTTGGAAGAAACTGACGTGCGAAAAGTGGTGACATGACATTATTTTAGTGCATCGTGTGGAGTCTTTCTTTATTCTTCTTATTCACCTTTTGTGCTCACTCATTTTAGTGTCAATTTTGTTTTGTGCGAATATAAAATTTTGCGTGTTTAAAATTGGAGTTTGTGTTCGAAACAACCACAACCATTACTGTGAAAAGGTTTAAGGAAGTGATGAGAACAAATACCTCAGCTATGTAATTGTCATCATCAGGTAAGATGATATCAATAATTTGTTTTTGTTACCAGGGAAATTTAATGTTATCGTTATTTTTGCCAGGAATGGGTAGTTCAATTCTGTAAATTCTTGCATTTTGAGAATTTTGTTAATTTCTCCACTAGGTACACATACCATTTAAAAAATATAATATTTTTAATGGAACATTACACAACTTTTTTTCTAAAAATGGTGTTGGTTTAAAATTTATAAATGTTTTGGTGTGAATGTGAAGGCCCTGTATTTAGTTAATTGGTGCATAGTGGCTTTTCATTTGCATACAGAAAGGTTTAGTGTTATTTTCTTATTTTAATTTTTTTTCCATACTACTTATTTTAACTGTTTAGGTATTGAAGTATTTGACCTTTTGAGTTGATATAGAGGAATTTTTAAATCTGAAACCTCCCAACACTGGTAGATGATGGTTAATAATAACAAATGCAATTTGGCTAGAGAAAGAATCTGCTCCTTACAATATGGGGCTTGGATGAATTAAGTTTAAAAATGTAAACATAATCTCGAAGCAGCTGGTAGCACATACTTTACAATTAAAATTGTGAAACTACTACTTTTTCTTTCGGTGATGTGGAAGCTTGGGCTGTTCATGCATGTGAACTCCTATTTTTAATTTGTGAAACTCACAATCGGCAACCTAAAATTGACTTCTTTTCTTATTCTTTTTTGGAAGACTTTTGATATAGAATTGGAGTCTCTTGATTAACTACAAACATTTTTTGATGCAAAGATTTTGCTATTTTGCAGTAGTAAAATACAGTATTTTTGCCTTCAAATCAGTTCTGTAATGTAATTGCTAGAAAATAGGTTATGTTATTTAAAGTTTCTAATTGGTCTCTATTACCGGTTTCCATGACCCCCAATTTCTCAAATTGACAGTTAGGAATTTTGTGTTACTATTTTTAAAACTTTCTCAAAAATATTTTTGTTTTGCTTGATGAAAATTAGCTTTAGAATTTTTAATATTATGAAGTGTACTTGACAAAAGACCTCTGAGTAGTCAGTGGTGTAATGTTTCAAGATAGTCATTCATAGTAATATAATTATTTTTCTTGGGATGACGCATCTTCAACTTTTGTAAAATAGTGAAATGACTATAATCTCAAAACCTCTGATAATGCCAAGAGGTTCAAGACCTTGTGAAGAAGTTATATGAAAAATTTGAAAGATGCTAACCATTTTCACTTAAGAATTAAGTAAGCATTCGTGTTTGCTGTAATTTATTTACTAAAATGCTTGCTTACAGAATTATTTTGAGAATACTTTACCACCTATTTCTGAAGTGGTATTTCTCTTGATCACAAGCAATAATTTGACCAGAAATCAATAATTGTAATGAATGAATTAAATTTATTTCTACTAAAGTTTTTCTTAAAGATTATTTTTGGCCAAATAAAAAGTTTTGCAAGTACTCCACGTTTCTGACAAATGAGCAGGTTTTTTCAGGTTTAACTGAATATTCTTGTAAAGAATTTTTCGCATTACTTCCTATTCGCTCATCCAATGATGTTTTTTAAAATAATGTGAAAAGGAACTTAATTTTCATGTGCTGTTGTTCCTTCATTAGTTAATCATGAAATAAGCGAATGACAGTCAAATATTTGAAGTCAGTCACGATCAAGTTGCATTTTATTTTATTACATCCAAGGACAAAAAATAACCATAAATCGGCAGTATATAAAATTCGATTGGGGAATGGATTGTTAGATAAAACCAGCTACACATATAGTAATTTATCGAAAAGCCTAGAAAATCGAACGAGGTCTTTGAAATTAGATACGGAGACCAAATCAATGTTGCAGATGACGTTGTTGGCGGCGCTTGAAAACTTCTGGAACACATTGCTCTCTTGCCCTTTGGCCTCTCACTCTTGTCTTTTTCTTCAAGTGGTGTTGATTTTTGAACATGTTTGATAAATAAATAGCTGGTTTCGCGAATGGACGTTGACGGTACTTTTTTCAGTTGACGCACTATTCAATATATCGAGGATAATTAATTGCAGTTTTACCCACAAGTTCTTTCGTTGAAGACATTGTGAGTAGGGGTAAAGGACATTACTCCAGAAACGAAGTATAGACAAGTAGCACGTGGAAACGCCGCATTAAGCGCCTCTTTCTCAGTGCTTGTATTGGCGGTATGTTCAAAATTGTTTCGTGGTGATTAAACATTCACATTTTTTTCTTTTATATGTATGCACTAGTAGTGGACTAAAAGCAGAGATTATAGTTGATATTCTATTGGACTAGGATCCGTTCAAATTGTAAGGGAATGGAGTATTAGGACAACTCAATAATGAAGACATTGAACATTTCTTGTGACGAGTATGCAGGGGTTACGGGAAAAGCCACGTGAATCATTTCTCCTCACATGATAATGTGGTTCAGACCAAAACGAGAAATAATCCTCGTATTTGAGAATTGAAAATAACGAAAGAAAGGGCTGAATGGTAAATCAAGCTAACAGAGTCTTTTACGATGTGTTTTTCATAGGAAGTAAAACTATTTTTTTTTATAAATGTTTGTATCGTAGTGATTGTGCCTAAGAATCTTCCAGAATATTGTAGAAGAATCCGCCTTAAAGTGCTAGTCGACTCGTCTTGTCGAGAGCAATCTAAAGAGCTATTGATCGTAGGTAAGCTGTAGGCACCTTACCACCCATCCACCCCTCCAACATATTTTTTGAGGATCCCCCGAGAACGTTCTGGAAAGAGCCGCAGTGAATGACAGCTCATTTGTGCCGAACGGTGGACCGGAGTAACGGAGAAACGTAGTTAACCGATTGTTGAAGGATTCACGGAAATGGTATCACTATGAACGAGCTCTAGCTCCCATTGTAGTGTTTAGAAAATTAGGGAAAACGTAATTCTTTCTTATATTTTCGTGTATTAAATTTGTAAAAACAATCCTTTCGTTTTGTGGAGTCGTTTAACTCTGGCTCATCCAACGTGGAAGGAATTGACTCCGTCCCTCGCGAGACCAACGCGAACAGCGGATGAGCCACATCCAAATGCCTAGCGAGGAAATGGGAGAATGATGCAGGGAAGCAAAATAAAAATAATTGAAGCAATCTTAGAAACCGAAGAATTTGAAAGAAATCGCTAAAATGAATCAATACGGTAACCGCCCGTTCTATCCTCAGTTCAAATCTGAACTCGCGACAGTCCGGTTATTGCATTGTCAGAAGTGCTATGCTGTTAGTTTTGTTAGAGATTTGCCTCTTCCAAAAACTACGGGACTTCGGATTTTAGTGAAGTATTTTTGTGAAGGAACTAGAGGTTTCAGAAGACATTAACTAGGGTGGCAGACATCTAAAAGAAAAAAAGAAAATGGATAACCTGGAAAACGCAGGGAAATTGAAATGTGAAAATTATACAGGGAAAATGCGGGGAAACTGGATCACGTCAAAAATGTGAGTTCGATTGAGCCTGAACTGGGCGGAAGGAAATAATGGTATATTGACGTGGCGTGGCAATAGTACAGTCGACTCCGGTTATAGTGAACCTCTAGGGTATAACATTATTGGTAAGGGGTCATCTATAAATTACGCGACGTTAACGCCGGGG